TTCTTAAGTTACAACCAGAGGTTGGACAATTTTGCATTGGAATAAAATATTCCATTATCATTGTCCCCCAGAAGAGACAGTTTTACAACATGAGCGCGTGAGGGGACTGGTAGATAAAGGACGACCTTCCTTTCACAAACCAAAAGCTAAAAGACTTTATTCATTTTTCTTTCTTCCTGAAGTCAAGCAATTCATTTCTAGACAGTCTTGGCAAGAGCTCAGACTGTTCTATGCTGGATCCATGCTGACAAAATAGATATTGCTTGATAATCCATTTTTTGCCTTAGTGCTAGTAATGGTGGCAATGGTGCTGAGGGCAAAAGACCAAGTCATTTTCCAAAGTTATAAGTAAATGATGCTCTAACAAAACCAATATGAGAGAATTAAAGATGAAGACTGTGGGGAGCAAACCGGACTAGACTGAGTTACTGGAATTAAGACTTATTCTATGCATCTGCTCTCCCACAATATGGCGCTGGGAGAGAAGTAAACAGCTTCCGCACAGCTGCCTCCAGTTCAACCAATAAACTGTAGGACTTGCTACTGATTGGAGGAGAGCAGCGTACTCGGCGTGTGGGCAGCCGAGTTGGGATTGGCGGAGGAGGACTATAAAGGAGGAGAGAGACGGCATGCACCGGGAACATCTATAGGGAACATCTAAGGGGAACATGTAGCTGAAGGAACACCTGTGCAGCCCCCGAGAGAGCCGGCCGGCGGTGTGCCGCTCCCCTGCGGAAGTGGGGAATGTGGCCAGGGGGAACTGCCCTTCCACGGAGGTGGAAGGGATAGTAGCCAACCCGGGAAGAACCAGCAGCAAACCCGGGGAGGGCCGAGCAGACGAAAGAACAGCGCAGGGCTTAGTGTCGTTCCTCCACGAAGACGGGGAGCGACAAAGACAAAGCTTACACCAGGCCAAGGTCTATAAAGTGGGACTTTTTCTCCCCTAAGGAAATTTTAATATGTATAAGAATCACCAGAAGCTATTCTTAAAATAGAGATTTCTGGTCACACTTTTTTACTCATTTATTTTCATTTTATTTGGGAAAGAGAAAGAGATCAATCTCCCATCCACTAACTCACTCCCTAAATGCCCAAAGCAGCAAGAGCCCGACCAAGCCAAATCCAGGAACCAAGAACTCCATGCGGGTTTCCCATGTGTATGGCAGGAATTCAAGTACTTGAGCCATTACCTGCTGCCTTCCAGGGTACACATTAGCAATAAACAGACACAGAAACAGAGCCAGGACTTGGATCAGGCACTTTGATGTGGGATGTGGGCAACCCAAGCAGTGTCTTAACTGGTAAGTCAAACACCCACTCCTCCCCAGAGTTTCTGATTGAGACAGCAGGTTGAGAATTTTCCTCTTTATAAAGTTCCCAAGTGACATTAATGCTGCTTGTCCAGGGACCCTGCCTTGAGAACCACTGAAATAAGTGTCTGTAATGACCTAAAGCAAAGACAATTAGAATTACTTCGAATTTGTCCTTATAAAGAGTATATAAAACTTTGTTATAAGGCGGCATGCATAGGCAGTGTCTCCACCTGGAGATATTCTTTGTGGTATTGATCTCATAAGAACACTGGAAGATACAAATGCTTTTCCATTTGCATTTTAATTACATGAAAATTAATGCTCATGAATGTGTTCCCTGAAGCAATGATCATTTCCTCTATTATTCAATACTTATGAAAGCATCCCATTAATAAAACAGATAAACACAAAATGCTTTAAGATGCAAAGAAAGAAAGATCCCAAGGAGTGATTCTCACAGCTTTAGAGAATAGAAACAGAATGGAAACCTAGAATTTCCTCCCAGAACTATCAATGATAGTTGTTGAACACTCTAAGGGAATTTTAAAAAGCCACATTTGCATATTTCTTTATTGGTTCTGACACTGTTCAGTGCAAGCAAATCAACTTTTTTTTTTTTTTAAGTCGGTCTTAGATTCTGAACATGCTTCCCTTTAGGTTTTCTCATAAACAAATGACTAGAAAATCTCTAAGACTGGAAGAGGCCAGTTCCTCATTTCAGCTCCTATCAAGGTTGCTTGCACTGACTCAACCAGGAAGGGTCCAGGTGACCAGTGTGTGCCCTGCTGTTCCACGCCCTCGGCTGGCAGCTCCCTGTGTGGTTCTGCTGACTGTGTGGACTGTCAGAACCCACCTGGACAATGTCACAGTCAGAGGCACAGCATCCCACAGGTATAGAAGGCGACTTTCAGCTGCTTTCTGATTTCCCTTTTGCATTTTCCCTTTGTTCGGATCCTGTTGCTACCAGCTTTGCTCAGTCCTGTCTTACTGGTCTTTCCAGATCTAATTAGAATTGGTGAATCATTAATCTACATGGTTTAATTTCTGGAACAGTGAGAGCCTTCTCCAACAATGTGAGGAGGTGTTTGTGGGATTCTTAAAGCTTGGGAGGTCAAAGGCTTGTGCTTTTCTTTATAATTATCATGTACCAACCTGGTCTTTCAGAGAGCCTAATGGAGAATAGTTAGCAGAAAGGTTGTTCTTTTTAACTTTTGACTCTTCACCTGCTCCAAAGAGGGTAGTAATTTAAGGAGGGCCTCTCAGAAGTTTTAACCATTTTCTCACTTAATTCCTGCAACAAGCCTGTGAAGGAAGTATGTTGATGCTCTTTATATAAGTATTATGTAGAGGCTGGCAGAAAAGTGGCTTGTCCTAGGTCTCAGAGCTAGTTGGCAGTGAGGGTGGAAGAGAAACCAGATCTGTTTATACCACAGCTGGACCCTTTCTACCCTCTGCATCCTGCCTCCCAAATCCCTGCTGTACTTTAAGTTTCTCCAGCTTTGCCGTGAATCCTGCCAGCAGCACTGTGGTTCTGACATTGAAGATAGCTAGCCAGCAAATTATACTAAATAATGCTTAAATCCAACTGGATGTAAATAACCTTCCCGTGGCCACAACCCTGTATCCAGACACCTAGAAAGGAAGCCCAAAACTATGCTCTGTTCCCTCAGAGGAGAATTAAAGGGAAAATCCACGAACTAAGAGTTCTGATACAGTTATTACGCAAGAGCCTATGCAAACATTCCTTTAGTATTATGCTGCCTAGAATGTGCCCAATGCTATAAAGGAGAAGAATAATAGAATCCCTGTCCTGTGTATGTGTGTGAAAGTAGCTGTAACCCCAGTCCTCAATTCAGCCATCTATATGTTGGGAGAATGAGGAAGTGACCTTTACCATCACTCCCCAACCTCAACCCCATAAAAAGGCACTTCACGCAATCTAGGTCTACATGTAGGGTTCTTTAACATTTGAGTTCTCTACCCAAAATATTAAAAGCAAAGCCAATGCTAAGAGATTTGGGTTTCTTTTATAAATAAGAGTTGAATCAACTTTAGTTTACTTCTAAGTAGCTCCTCCAACATCTCTCCACCCTAAAATATAGTACCAATTTCCTTTATGTGACTTAAAAGCAGATGAGAGGAAAGGAGTAAATATAAGAGGTCCCAAAGTTTCCCGAATCAATGTCATGATGTGGTCATGACAATGTCATAACATTGGGCTCCTCCTCTTTGCTGTTGAAAGTAAATTGAAGAGCCTATTAATTCTCTTTATACAAAGTCATGGGACTTCTGTGCCACAGACAGATTATAGGCAAGCACACAAAGCATAATGAGAAGTAATGAATAAAAATTAAGGAGTACCTCAGTGTGCAGCCATTTAGTATGGAAATACATAATCACATGCTATAAAAGCCTGTACCAATTATTGTACCCTCTGTAGAGCTACAGTAAACAGAATAATTGTCATTGCATTTCTGCATGGAGCCATGAGTGATAGTCAACATAATGAGGTTAGGGCATAAGAAAAAGATGTACTGATTTTCAGTGTTTTCTATTTTCAAGCTGAAGAAGTAAATAATACACTGTAAAAAAAGTTCTAGTAAAAATTGTTGTCAAATTATATAGCACTAAAATGGCAAACTTCAGATTTTGACTATCCAAATGTGTTCATTCTCAAAAGGTTCAAGATTGCTGAGTTTTATTTTAGAATTATAGACTTGCTGAAACTACTGTTGGTGACCTCAGAATATGTGGCCAGCTATTATCCATGCCCAGTCTGAAACTGCCTTCCACATTGCCCATGGCAAGGGACAATGGTTATGTCATCTGTTCCCCAATTCCATGCCTAGTCTGCGAATAATAAAGCATTGATTTCCATACAATAATACATCGATTATCTTGGAATCCTGTTCTTATTCTATAATTTAAACCTTAATGGAAAAGGCCTTGTTTTCCTTGTTCTTACAACCCCCAAATACACCAAAATACCTACCTACCTATCTACATACCTGCCTACATAGAAGACTCCAAAAAGTTCATGGAAAATGACTATAATGAAAAAACTGTGCAAGAATTTCACATAAAATAAACTGGCCTTTTAATTCCATTTGCAAAACTTACTAAAGTACCCTCCTACATAAATGCAGACTATAAGGAAAATTTAATGTGTACTTGATTTTTTTTATTTGACAGCGAGAGAGAGAGAGAGAGAGAGAGAGAGAATATCTTCCATTTCACTCCCCACATGCCCACAACAGCTAGGGCTGGGCCAAGTTGAAGCCAAGAGAGAGGAATTCCATTCAGGTCTCTTACATGAGTGGCTGGGATACAAGTTCTTGTGCCATCACCTGCTGCCTCCCAGGGTGTGCGTCAGCAGGAAGTTGAGTCAGAAGTGGAAGACAGACTCCATTCTAGGCACTCTGGTATAGGATGTAGATATCCCAAGGGGCAGTTTAACTCATTGTGCCATTGTTCCTCCCTCCATTTCTCCCTCCCTCCCTGCGTGTGTGTGTGTGTGTGTGTGTGTGTGTGTGTCTGTTTCTTGCTCTGCCTTTCAAATAGAAACTAAACTTCATAATACACAATGAACAAATTTCAGCATACTATTTAGATGGAAAGACTAAAGTCACATGATAATTATCTTCAAAGCATAGTAATGCAAGGGCTGCTAAAGCATACTGGGCTCTATCCATCTCCTGTGAGGAACTGGGAGTTTGACTGTGAAATTCAGGAACCTTTTCTCACCTCAGTTTCCCTCATTTGCTCCAGAGCCCACAGCCTGTTCCTCCTCAGTAAAGATGCAGCAACTCACTTGTAATTCCCCTCCAGAAAAGGACGAAGAAACGCCAGAGGGAGAGTGGCCCTCGAATGTGGAAACTGAGCATGAGCCAGAGAACAGCAACTCAGACTGTGTCCCCTGGAAGCTTCCAGCGCTGAGTTCTCCTAGCTTCGTGGGGAAAGCAGAACCATCCTGCCCAGAAATGCAGCCACAACCCATGGAGGCCTCTCCTCAGCTCTCCTCGAGGAGCCTGTCAAAACAGCACGGTGAGAGCCAGGGGAATCTTCTCCAGTTTGACCGGCAAGCCCTGGGCCGCATTTCTACCTCTCCCACTTTGAGGAGGTTGAGGGGCAGTGGCTGGGGGACCCTGGGCTCACTGCTGCAGCGAGATGCCTTAGACACACGCACCTGGGGAAGCCGCAGGGAGCCTGCAGACTCCCCAGACTACCTTTCTAAGAGTCTACCTGGAAATCCAAAGGATTCTCCACACCTAACGTCAACCCTGAAGCCCAGCCCAAGGTTGCTTTCTACCCCTGAGAGCACCCTCAGTACTGCTGACTCCATCAAGCCCCAAGCCAAGCCCTCTGTGGGGCGTGCCCTGCCCATGCTTCAGACCATCAGTGAGCAGCCGCTTCTCCAGGCTTCTCTCGAGGAGCAAAAAGACCACTCACTGCTCAGCCTCACCCCACTGCACCCAAGTCCTCAGGTAATACAGGTGATGCCACAGTTGAGTATACAGGGTGGAATTGGGATAGGGTTTAGTGTGTGTGAGTCTTGCTGGGAGCTTTATGACATCTTCTCATGGAATTAAGCATTTGTGTGTTCATCATGGCAGCTCCTTCTTCCTAGTCCCAGATGAGATGTGATGCATGATGGGAAAGTGGGCATACCAGTTTGAGAGGCAAGGAAATGGAGTTACAGTGCAGGGCAGCAGACATAGACGTTTTGGAAACATCTCCCAGCTCAATTATTCCTATCTAACCTCCTGCTTAGTAACCCATATTGCTATGATGAGAGACAGCACAGAAAGTCACAGTTGGAGAGACACACCCATTAGGAAACAATGGCTCTCAAGTAAAAAGAGTGCAGTAATTGGGGGAAGAAGAAATATGGGTGTCTAGGTCACCTCTTCCTCTATCCTGAGAGCTTTTTTTAAAAAAAAATACTAACATAGGCTGCAGGTGGCCTATCAGAATTTGGACAATAACAGTGTCCCTCTTGCAAGTGCACATCATTTGAAGACAATCTGATGCAGCTGCCTTAAAGAAGAGGGAAGGAAATTATTTATATTTCTATACCTCCCTCAAAAACACCCTGCAAAACATTCTAGCTGGGATAGCTCATTTTTTTCTTCTTTCAAAATGTTTTTGTTCGAATTTGGATGATTCAAGTAAAACCAAAACATATATTTTTAAAATTTATTTCAGGGAGAAAAAAAGCATCAATCCAGGTATGTATGCCTTTTTTTCCAGTGCTATGACATCTGTTGACTGTTCATTTCACATATCTATTTCTGATTTGATAGTGCCTGCTGGTGTATTGATCAACACATTTGGTTTTACTACACCCAAGTCCCTCTTTATGTTTATGGGTATACGAGCCTTCACTTTAAAAGTGTCCTTTAAGCGCATAGCTGTGGCTTTTGGGCACTGTGTATGTCAACCCCTGCAGTCCTGGTTTTCCCTTTGAATTGTCAATGCCTTGGCCCTGTGGCTTAATTAATATCCACTACAGGTTTTGTCTGATAGAGAAAATGGAAAAACCAAAAACACTCAACAGCTTTTCAAGAGAAGTTCAGAGAACAAGGATAAAAGGGACAAGACATCCTATTTAAATCCAGGGCGACCTTTGACATGTTTGCATGACAGACTGCCCTTATCTAGAATGCAAGCAGATTCTGTCACTTCCAAAACCAGCTCTGAACTTGCACCATTGCCCCCCACATCTGCCATCTCTCCCAGGGATGAAGAGTTTCTGTGGCAGCAAGGGAAAAATCCATGCCCAATTTCAGCTCCCCGATTTGTGGGACTGGCAGGAAAGCTCTCATTCTGTTTGAAAATTCAGAGAGGTCCTTAGGTGAAATAGCCATTGTTTTATTACTGGCCCTTGCTCCTCAAGCAGCAGTTTGTTGTTCTTACAGTAAGGAAAATACCATCTCTGCAGTCTTTGTTTACTTCAACCCTAACTGATCTAAGTGTGTGAGCAAAGGTAGAACACAGTCACAAAACCATAGGAAAATGCAAATTATTCGTTAGTGTACCAGTTGGCTGTTGCTACATAACAAGCCACCCCATTACACTTAAATCAACAGCTAGTTCAGTGTTTCTTATAAACCTACATATCTGCTGGGAGTCAACTGGTTGAGAGTGGGTGGTTGTGTCCTCCATGTCTCTCATCCTTCTCACAGGGTCATAGGGTTCCTAGGCGTGTTCTTCTTATGGTCAAAGGAGAGGACAAAGAAGACAAGTGGAAATACATCTTAAAGACCATGCTCTGTATCTTGTCTAATTTGACTGGCCAAAGCAGGCCAACTGGTTGAACCCTGGGATAGGGAATTATATATCATCAGTGAGAATGCACTGAAGTATTACACAACGAAGGGAATGGATCAAAGGACGGGTGAAGAGGCCATTAGCACAGTATCTTCCGTGGGTGCAAAAGACAAGAATGCTCTAAGATCAGGTGTGTCCAAGTGAAAAAGACAGCGGTCTCAGAGAAAGAGGATGATGTTGATTAGAGTCACTTCATGCAGGGACTAAAAGTATGTTTAGGAATTTTGTTCTTTACCCTAAGAACAATATGAAACCATTGAAGAATTCATATTATCATGTGTAGATGTGGGATTGAGGTGAGAGTGAACTTGAGCAGAAGAATTAGAATGTTCAGATGAGAAGTTGAAAGGTTAGGCTATGACTAGGGCAGTGGAATTAGAAAGAACTATTTCAGTGCGAGAGAAACTTAGGAAATACAATCACCTGGATATTATGAAGAGTAGACCACCAGGGGTAAGGGAAAGAAAGTTGACAAGAACAATCACCAACGTTTTGGCTTACAGAACAGGGTGACCAGTGTTTATTCATTGATCTAGATATATCTGAGGGAATAAAAAAATGTGAGTGGAAAGTAGGTCTTGACCTCAGATCTGAACACGCATGATTTTTCTATGTGTAGCTTTTCCCTAATACTCATTTTCCAAGAATATTTGGAAGACTGCTCATATGCATGAATTTCAAGATGTTTCCACCAAATCAACTTATCTGTTTAAATTAGTTTATTTATAGACTTTATTTGAATGGTACAGAGTGCTCTCATCCACTGGTTCACTCCCCAAATGACTGCAACAACCTGAGCTGGGCCAAGCCAAAGCCAAGAGCCTGGAACTCAAATTGGAACTGAAAGCTGAGCTGGACTCAAACCCAGACACTTTATATTGGATGCAGGATGCCAAGCAGCAGCTTAACCATTTCACCAAATGTCTACCTTCCAACTTATTTTTTAATTCCATTTTCCATGAACATTTTGAGGTACTCTCATCTTTCCATGTAAAACAAGTCCATTCCTCCTTTTTTTGTGTGTGTGTGCCTTGTAAATGCTTCCATCATAGTATCTAAATGCTGTATTACATTTCTTTCACATTCATCTGCTCCCAAAATTCACACCTTCCTGAAGGGGTGGGCATGTGGCATAGTAGTAGAATCATTGCTTGCAACACCGACATCCACATCAAAGTGCGTGGTTCTGTTGTGGTGGGAGCAGGGAACAAGGGGTTCAGGTTCTATCTCTCACATGACAAGAATCTGAGAATGAGGCACAGGTAAAAGTTAGCCGAGGAGCCGGCACTGTGACATGGTAGCTAAGACTCTGCCTGCAGCAGCAACAGCCCCTATTGCTGTCAGTTTGTGTCCTGGCAGCTCCTCTTCCTCTCCAGCTGTCTGGGAAAAAAGTGGAAGATGGCCAAAGTGCTTGGGCCCCTGCATCTGCGTGGGAGACCCTGAAGAAGCTCCTGGCTCCAGGCTTCAGATTGGCCCAGCTACATCCATTGTGGGCATTTGGGGAGTGAACCAGAGGATCAAAGATCTTTCTCTCTGTCCCCCTTCTCTCTATAACACTATATCTCAAATAAATAAATAAAATATTTTTTAAAAAGTTAGCAGAGGAAGATAATTTATTAACAAAGCAAAGGACACACTCCAGAGGGAACACAGGCACGCTCCAGGTGCATTCCCTAACTTTAAGTGACATGGAGTCAGGGGTGGTAGTGCTTTCAGAGGAGTTCTCCAGGAAAGAAAGGGATTTCCAGCAATTTGGCAAAACCCCAGTTTCCAACCATGTTAGCAGTCTCAGAAGTGTCATGGCATCAGAATAATGATAGGAAGAGGACTGGCAGCCATGAAAGTTTATCATGATACTTTTAGGGTTACCACTGGACACCATCACCAGCCATGTTGGATATTTTCAGTTGGTGCTGGGCAGTGGCTTTACTACAATAGCAGTTTCAGATTGCTGATCATGAGGGGTTTTAGAGGCAGCTCTAGGAGGGAGTGTGGTGGCATGTCCTCTGGCTCTTTGATCTCTGTCTTCTTACCTATAACAGTTCAAGTCCCAGCTACTGGCTTCTAGTTCAGTTTCCTGTTAATGGGCACCCTGGGAGGCAGCAGGTGATGACCCAAGTACTTAAGTACCCAAGTACTGCCTCCCATGTGGAGGTGTAGATTGAGTTCCTGGCTCCTGGCATCAACCTGGTCAGCCCTGGCTGTTGCAAACATTTGGGAAATGAACCTGTAGATGAAAGACATCTTTCTTTCTGCTCTTTCTCTCTATCTTTAGAATAAAAAGAAAGTCAAGAAAATCTTCCTGGAGACAGCACTTCCTATTTACTTCTGAACTTCCAGTACTGTCGCTCCCCCACTCACGGAGGAACGACACCAGACCCTGCGCTGTTCTTTTTGCCCGGCCCTTCCCGGGTTAGCTGCCGTTCCCTCACTCGCAGAGGAACGACGCCCTCCGGGGTTAGCTGCCGGTACCCCCCCCACCCCCGCCTCCACGGAGGGGCAGCACCCCCGCCGCTTTCCCCACTTCCGTGGAGGAGCGGCACACCGCCAGCTGGCTCTCTCAGGGGCTGCTCAGATGTTCCTCAGGTGTTCCTGGTGCATGTTGTTTCTCTCCTCCTTTATAGTCCTCTTCCTCCAATCCCAGCTGAGCACGCTGCTCTCCTCCAATCAGGAGCAGGATCAGCTCCTGCAGCTTGTTAGTTGAATTGGTGAGGCAGCTGTGTGGAAGTAGTTTGCTGTCTTTCAGCGCCATATTGTGAGAGATCAGATGCATAGAGTTAGTCTTAGTTCCAGTAATTTAGTCTAGTCTCAGTTGCTCCCCACACAGTACCCAGCATCTCCACCTCCAAAAATATTTATTAAAGGAAAAGATGGGTGAAGGAAGGAAGAAGGCTGGCAGAGTGCTTGAATTACAATGTCCCTTATCTATCTCTAGCATATTTGTATTTAGACAACGGAAATGGATTAAGGCCAAGTCAAGAAGCTATGTTGATAGGATTTTAACAGGAATCAAGTGAGGGATATTTTGACTATGGAGACACCTTCCTGGCACCCCTTACATTCTATATTCACAGAAAGACATCTGTCTTGCCTAATTTTCAAGTCAGCCCTGAAGCTCAGAAGGGAAATGTACATACTAAATTTCTATGAGTATAAAGAATAATCCTCCAGTGCTCAAAAGGAAATAGGAAAAATTCTAAATATATCCAAATTAGCAAATGGAGCAACCTTAGCATGAAAAAGAAATCACAAGGTATTTGAAAGTCTACCTTGAGGAAAAAAACAGAAAAAATATTGAACACCAGTAAAATTTACCCCAATGTCAGGTTCATTTGGGACTCTCTCTGGGCAACAGTACAATGTGGAGTTAAGTTCCTAGAGTCAAACTTTCAGAGTTGAAATCCTACCTCACTTCTCTCTGGCTATATGATCTTGAGTAACTTCCTTAGCAGCTCAAAACTTCATCCATGAAGTGGAGATAAAAATAGCACCTATCTCATAAACCTTTGAACTGGTTAAATAATAACTCAAATGGTAACTAATGTTATTTTTTATAGACACCATTTAGCACTTCCCATGTTCAAGTCACTGACTTATTTTAAAATATTGGTGGGGCAGGCCAAGTGCAATGGTTAAAGCTACTGCTGGGGATGCCCACATCTCATATTGAATGAGTGCCTGGATTCAAGTCCTAGCTCTGTATCCAATTCCATCTTTCTGTTAATGCCCACCCTGGGAAGCAGCAGATAATTATTTTGGGGAAGTGGGGTGTTAATGTTTACCCCAGGCCTTTGTCTGCACAAAAATAGGGAGAGTCTAGGTGGTGGCATATACAAAGTAACTTTTATTCAAAAAGTGAAGAAGGGAACACATACACATGTGAATGTGGGTTGCTCCA